AGAGATCGATTGAACCACAGAGCTTCAATTGCTACTATTTGCTAGGTATATGCTATCTACACGCACACCAAAAAATGGCTCTCCCATTTCATTTACTAATTAACAAAACTGATTGGTTCTCCACTTGTTGCTCAGTCGTTAGTTTTCTGTGTAGTGTTTTGTTGACTCTTGACCGTTGTATGTACTGTGTCTCTTTTATTTTTGCCAAGGTTTTGTCTGGTCTTTGGTTGTCCCTCTTGGCGTCGTCTTAATGTTATCCTTATGTTAACGAATATACCACGAAAAAGGTTCACAATCAGAAATTATAATTGAACTTTAGAGTGTGAGAAATGTAAATAATTTTAACCTAATTTGATTAACAATGTCTAGTATACGTTCATTATTTAATAAAACATCTTTCTTGCAAGTTTATATAAGGTCATGTATGTGTTTCAGTTCAATCGTTTTCAATGGGCTTGTTTACAAGAAGCAAATATTTAACAAAAGTTGGTCCAACTAACTTGACTGACTTTGCTAATAGATATTCAAATTGATTTCCCGAATATGAGTTCTGTATCTACATACATGTGGAATATGATTTATTTGTAAGGTCTATCCAGTTGATTTTCATGGTGAAATTCCATGCTTCGACAACCAGTTCGCTGACCACTCAATATTTGTTTGAATACATTGCAGTTATCTAAATGTGGTCTTAGTTATGGAAATGTGGTCTTAACCATTTTCTATCATTTAATAATTAGCATGTTCATGCAGCTTGCATGTGAATAATGTTTGGATATTGTATGTGTTTTGCTTGCTATGATTTGTTTTAATTTATATGTTTTTAAATATTCATATGTATATGATTTTACTCTATTTCTGAAGACCATGTGCACATAGCATCCTATTTATTATTTAAAGAATAAAATACACATCATCAATTAAAATACAAGGATCTGATTTTTTTGCTTGATGTCTTACCGAAGCGTTGATATTTTTTTGCATTCACATTCTGGTGTATGTGTTTTGTTGCAGTTTTTTTATCGATCGCTTGGTAAATAACATGCAGTACGGATACATTAAAGGACGTCACGGAAGTAGTTTTATAGTGAGACAGAGATCTGATCGGTCTAAATTGGAGTTCGCCACATGGTCCAAATAACATGCTCTGTTGTTTTATTATGATTATGAGAAAAAATATAAAACCATTTAGTCATACTTCCATCCATCTTTCCGTCCCTCCGTCACTCCGTCCGTCTGTCTATCCATATCGTTTCTGGATGGTAGCTTGAGCTTCACTTGCTTGATTGGAATTATACTTTTATAAATGGGAGACATAATAAAATGGAATAAAGCCTATTGATGTTGGGGTTGATAGGTAAAAGTTCAAAGTTCAAGGTCACTAATACTCTATATTTTGTTTTGGAAAATGGGTTTCCTGATGATAACAAGTTGAGTTTCATATGCCTGATTAAATTGAAACTTTTACAGATGGAAAATACAACGAGAATCAGCGGAAAAACCTGTCTTATTTGTTTAAAGTGGGTAGCTAAAAAGGGGTTTCCGTATATTTGAGCTCTGAAAAAAAATACTGATAACAATGTTGGTTCATAAACACTTGAATTTTTATATACTCTGCTTGCTTAGTCACATTTTAGATGATAACTCGAGTATCCCATAATGAGCTGTAACTCATTTATACAGGTGAAATATTAGCAATAATAGTACATGTTTTATTTCGTCCCTCAATTCATACAGTTTTGAAAACTTGAAATACATTTCTGACCATAAACAATATAGGTAATTAATCTTTATTTTCTATCAATACATGTTCGGTTCGAGCAGTACCATCTGTTGGAGGTGTCCGGTTTTTGTTTTTTTTTGGGGGGGGGGTTTGCTTGTTTTCTTATTTTCTTATCATCTTTTTTAAGCGGTAATAACATACATGTATAGTATTAAATACTATATATTAATCGCCTTTCATAGCATGTGTCGAATCAAGTGATAAATGAAAAGAAGGCAAGTGTAATCGATCTATCTGCCTGAATCATGTACAAAACAACAAACGAAAAACAAATAAGATATACAGCAACAAACGACAACCATTGAATTACAGACTGCTGACTTGGAACAGGCACATACAGAATGTGGCGGAGTTCAACATGTTTGCGCACAACATAAGAAAAACAGTTGAAAATGGCTTGACTCATCAGATCGATACAAAGCACAAAAACAACTACAAAAACAATAAAGAAAGAAAGTATCGATCTGATAGTACTCGTATTTACTGAAAGTTATCCCAAAGTCATGCAATAACAATTAATAAAAAATCATACATCCTGGACAAGACAGGAAAACTGAATTCAACGAAACTTTATAAAATAAAATTAAAAGTAAATAACCTTTGCCTATAAAACTGTCACAGCCGTACATTCAGATCTAATATGTATAAATACGTTAGGATAATTATGAGAGAAAGGAACTTTACTATTCCATATGGGTTTGGCTAAATTTTGGAGGCCGTACAGTGCCCTACTGTTGTTTCCTTATTTTCATATTAGGTTAAAGCAAAAAACCACATTGATCCATTTTTATATATATGTGATTGAATACTTCAGAAATAAAAAAAGGAAGTCCAATTATATACGATTTTCGTTTTGAGAGTTCGCTATATATATAAATATATATACAAGTCTTAATTGAAAACAACGTTCAAACCTATGATTGCGTTGGATAAAAACCGCAATTTTTATACGTGTGCATGCAAAACAAATTTCTTGTTAGAGGGGTCTAAATACAGCACAAACAACATTTTCCAAAAGTACAAAAAAGTGAAAAGGTATATTTTAACAAAACGCATTTGACTAACAGGTCGAACAACAAATGTTCTTAAACCCTGCTGACTGCCATTGGCGATTGCCAAATAATATATATATATACAATAAACAAAATCCATTGAACATGTACTGATTGATATTTGAGTCTGGGAAACATGGTTAATTTATTAATTGAAATTTACTTTGAACTAGCTTTTAGTAACTGCGACTACTTTTAGATCGGTACTAGTTTGTCAGTTTTTTTATGCTTTGTGTCGTTTCGATGATTCAAAATTTTCTTGCATGCGTCGACGTCCTTTCTACTCTGGTAGATAGTTGTCTCAAAAGACAAACGTCTATACAGTAATTGCTAAAATTCGAGAAAAATTGTGAAAAATTTAACAGAGACTACGAAAGATCTGTCATTTGCTTATTTATCGCTTTAAAACCTATCATTGACGAATGTTTCATTTATTTCTTTTCTGTATGCACAGATTTGTAATTTTGTATAGTTTCTTCATTGCATGTGCAGTTGTTGTTGTAGTATGAAATCCTCTTTGAAGTTTAGCATAGCGACCACAATTAACGTACTAGAATGACCAATTCCATTTCAGTAGATTTAATACTTAAGTGAATACGAAATTCATTCTGTGATACAGTACTATTTAGTATTGCTTTACTTGTATAAGTATGTTTCTTGTTGTCGTATACATTGTACCGATATTACAGAGTTTTTTGAAATGACGTTTATTTGCCTTTCCTCTGCACGTTCTTTTGTTCCAGTGGTCAAGGTAGAAAAAGTGCATTGTGTACTTCATAAACTTATTTAAATCAAATCGTCATATGCTTATGTGTCTGTCTTGTCTCCAGAACATCATCAGTTGTTGTCTGTATTTGTCTGTTAACTAGTGTTGATGAAAGATATTTGGTAGTCTGTGTTTTATTTATTAAGATCTTTCTAGATTCGTGCAATTTAGAGCCTATAGAATGCCTGTGGCTGAACAATTATGTCGACCTCTAGCTGCTTTGTTTTGCTTTTGTTGTCCTGAAGGTTGTTGTCTCATTGACGTTTGGCAAATTACTCATTTTTATTCATATTGTTGCGAATACGAAATATCATAATGCATTGGCTGTAAAAAGATACATCACCCATTATATATTTATAGATCATAACATGCCCTTTTCCATATTGGCCCTGGTATCATCCCGAGACTCCCATATCAGCCCGAGGCTTTAGCCGAGGGCCGATATGGGTCGAGGGATGATACCAGGGCCAATATGGAAAAGACATGTTATGATCTATTTATCACATATTCAAGTTCTGCAGAACAGAGAAAAACGTTCAGTTATAACTATTTAATTAACCATTTTAACCACAACATGTAAATTCTAAAAAGATTTTTCACATTTTCCATTAATTTTTTTCATTCACTACAAACAAATTTATTGTAACATTTCCCCTTATTTTTGAATATGGTAATACATAAAAGCGAGAATTTTGCTTAACTGGTGCTAAATCGATAATAGTTGGTTGGACATTGTTACTATTGGCCATTGTAGCATAATTCTCATAATTTTCAATACAAACACCGTCATTGTTCGCTATTGTCGTTAAGGACGCAATGACGTCACGTCATTTGGAATCGAGGCACAATAACCAATAACCACTTTTTTGCACAGGGCAGCAATATGAGTAGGACAATTTTGCGGTTATTACATATGCAAAATCCAATGTTTTCGTAACAAATATGTGATAAATATATATATACTAATTGCAGCCATAAATATAGATTCTACCACTGCATCGAGTGTGATACGATATTTATCCACTCGAGACAGTTAAATTTTCAAATTTAAAACGCGAGGCTCGCCGAGCGTTTTAAATATTTAAACTTTAACTGTCGAGAGTGGATAAATATCGTATTACACGAGATTTGGTGGTGGAATCTGTTTCTCTAATGATTTTCAAACAATACGCAGGCAAATTTATTCCTTCTTTTCGAATGATCTGCAAAAAGATGTGTTCTTTCTATGTGACGGCATGGTCGCCTTTTTTCATGCCGTCACAATAGGAAATTCAGAGGAAAGCAAGAAAATTCGACGTCATAATCGGATTTTAACCAATGAAGAACTGAGATCAAACGAACCACACGTTGATTAAATTTTTTTTATACAATGGGTGCAGAAAGGGATAAATTGACGAAGAATTAGAGAATAATTTATATCTGATCAATATGGACGGAATGAACGTTTTAACGTTCACCATGTCAAGAAACAATATGAAAAAAAAAACAATTGTATGAAACCAATGTATTATATAGCCACGACACCTCAATTCAATCGCAATATAACAGTTCTAAAGATAACTGTCATTATGTCCTTTTTGCGAAACATATTTTTCTTTCTTTTAGACTGACAACATGTAAATCAAATCCTAACACTTATATATATCTTAGATTACATTTCTTTCAATTTATTTTAACTATTGTGAAACAGGAATATGAGTATATGTACTGAGAACCACCAGCCCTAACTGTAATTTCATCACTGACATCCAACATCGTGACAAAAACACTGGTTCTAGTTTGGTAAAGAGAGCCAACATCACCGTAAAATGTATCAATCATTATATTATTGTTTTTATAAATATAGTAAACCGCATCATTCGTGTTTGACATCATGACAGCAGAAACATGATATAATCCAGCTACAGTGCAAACGAATTTTCCGGTCGATTTGTAGGATGACAAATCGGTTATTCCAATGTTGGTTTTGATATTCGAAAATTGTACTACTTGTCCACTTGACACGGTACGGTGACTGTTATGACAGGCGGTAAGAGCAACTGAAAAAAAAATGTATTTTAAAAAATTCTATCATAATTTCATTATAAACAAATAATAATGACATCCTAAGATATGTTATTGAACTCAATATACTTTTATACATATATGTTATATTAAAATTTTGTCTTTGGCAATATAAAAATTATGAATTGCTAAAGACAAAATTTTAATATAACAAATAGTTTGCCCTTTTTTAATTCCTGGAAACTGAAAGATCTGTAGTGTCTACATGATTGTTTCCTTACTTGTGTAATTTTTTTTATCGCCATATTGTTATTGAATCTGGTACCTTTCAATGTCCCAGAATGCTAGAATATGAAGTTAGGTCATATAAAAACCCGTATTGATCGCACTTCCAATACGTTTTACTGGATATGCTGCGTTATTTATCCTCATGATGGCGACAAAAAAAAGATATTTTGTATTCCCGTTTATCGAATATTTACCTTGATTGCGCAATTCAATTCAACTCAATATTTTATGTTTGTATATATAATAAAACAGTACATTAAGTGCAAAATATCTATATAAAGTATAGAGCTATTCTGTACAGAATTATAACTTAAGAGATTTTAACATTAAAACATTATAGAAATTGAAAATTCGTATATTATAAAACATATTTATAGGCGTATTTGTTTATTCTACATTGGCTAGAGGTATAGGGGAGGTTTGTGATCTCACAAAACATGTTTAACCCCGCCACATTTTTGTGCCTGTCCCAAGTCAGGAACCTCTAGCCTTTGTAAGTCTTGTATGTTTTTTAATTTTGGTTCATTTATATGTTTCGGAGTTTAGGGTCACGTTAATTTTCGCTGAACTACACTGTAAAAGTCGTGCTTAGAAATTAAACACGTGTATTACATGTTTAGATCTAAACGTGTTTAGGATTGTGTTTAATTTCTAAACACATTTCTCATTAAGCACATAATATCTAAACATGTCTTGAATTTAAACACTTTTAATGTGTTTAAAATGAAAGTGTTTAGAAATTAAACACTCATTTCTAAGCTAAACACGATTCTAAACACAGTCCTAAACATATTGTACTGAGACACGTTTAGATCTAAACATGTAAAAAAAAGTGCACAAAAGATGTGCTTAGAAATGTGTTTAGGATCTTAACATCATTTTTACAGTGTGCAGTATACATTTTTGTTTAGGAGCCAGCTGAAGCCCGCCTCCGGGTGCGGGATTTTCTTGCTGTGTTGAAGACCCATTGGTGGCCTTCGGGTGTTTTCTGCTCTTTGCTCGGTTTGTTGTCTCTTTGACACATTCCCCGTTTCCATTCTCAATTTTATTATAGGTACATTATTTACAATATAAATCATTTATACGTCTATTTAAAATAAGAATAAGGCTTTAACACAGCTACGAATCATATTAATATCTGTGAATAAAAACACTTATTTCTGTCTATCATCAAATAACATAAAATCACTATTATAATGTTTTGCTTAACAAAAAAATCCTCAAATTCGTAATATAATGGACACGATCAAATGCAGACTCGATCTTGTAAAAGTCAATTTTCAAATTTCCCTGTTTGGATTCTTAATGGTGCCACTCCACATAGAAATTTGGCAAAAGAACTCCTTTGTGTAAATGCAGGCATTGAAATTTTAAAATATGTTTCAGTTTCAAACTGTTCTTAAATAATTTATATGTTCTAAGTTTGTTGTCACATTTACCATATAGAGCTATCTCTGTAAATTGTATTGCCATTGATCAACATATTTACTAAACATTCTAACCATAACAACTGAGGTACAAATATATTATGTAATGTTAAACGCATATTCTACATTACGTAAAATATCCAATTTTTTATACACCTGCTTCTACTCATAATATCTGCCCATGTGAAAACCTTCCTGTTTGACCTATTAGAACCCATATTGTTCAAACGACACCATAGTCGAATTAAACATTGCCATTGTTTTTGAAAGATTGGTATCCACCCATATCCCCTGCAACTGCAACATTTGGAGTCTATTTACCAACTCAAAGAGATGAGAGACGATGTTCCATTTAATTCCTAAGTTTTTAATGAATGTCCTGAAATTTATGACTCATTCTGCAGAATTCAGAATTTTAATCTTAATTGTCCGGTACTATTGAATATGTCTGTAAAGGTTTCATCAACTTTCCTTTCCTCTTATTTTAACGTTTGGATTTGTCCCAACATTTTATTTTGTTCATATGTTATCTGTCTCATGGAATACATGCATGTTGTGTTGTAAAGTGCCATGAAATCATCATTACGGGCTTGTTTGCGGCTGATTAATGAATGAACGGAAGAATAGACAGTTGCACCTTATTTTGTAATGTCTTCTCTTCAGTTATTCCACTTCATGACACTTAGATCTAAGTTCCAAGTCTAAGTTTCATGACTTGGACAACTATGTTCGAGGTCCAATGTTTGATTTTGCCAGTTTTCCTGTAATGTTTTGTTTTTGTGTCCGGTTTTTCAATACTCGATTTCGTACATTTTATGCTGTCAGAAGTCGGTTTGTTTTAATTCTCAATTTATCCATTTGATTCGAATATTTGTTTTTTAAAACAGTAAAATGGTTCTGTAAATGACGAAGGTCACTTCTTGGTTCAGTATTTTTATTTTTATTTTCTTGGTATTGTTGCACAAGTTCAGCAATGCTCCTGTGACCGGTCTCAGTTGCACCTGAGTGAAAACCAACGTTTAACTATTGTATAAAACCAGATGGCAATCCTTTGTAAACTATTTGAAAAGTTTGGCTGACAAACTCTATTCCTCTGATTTGAAAATTTACAAAAAAGTTGACATAGTTGAACAATAGGTATTACCTTTATTATTTGAAAGAGATTAGGTTAGAAAGGTCATATTGAATCATTTCTTTTATTTTGTTTGGTAATATCAAGTAAATATATTACTATTGCAAAATTTTGTTTTATGATGGTTTTTATTTTATTTTATTTTTATTTCGGCAGTCAACAAAAGTGCTTACTATACTTCTCCTTTCGTGTTTTATGTTCAAAAATGAATAAGATGGCCTCAAAATCCAATACAAAACAAAACAATTATTCTCGAAAGAGCAACACTTCAATGCATTCTGGGTAATATTTTCAATAGAGTACACCAAAACGTTGTGATTGGTTTAAAACGTACTAAACAATTGAAATTCAACCAATGACGACACGTCATTTACATTTTGGTGTACATACAATGAGACTACCCATAATCCTTTAGATTCTGATTCGGCGAATTGTACGTATATGTGTAACAGTGTTAATCAAAGTACTGAAGTACTATTAACTCGGATGACCCCAATGTCTTATGACTAGCGAATAAATCATATAGAATTATATCCCTGTAGATTGCTAGAAGTAACTTGCAGTATCATTATCACGTCGAGAGTATAATATTTCAGCCACATTAAGGATGATAACATATTTAACAGTCAATCAATTGTGTAGGTTCTTTAGGCACAAAGGGTCGAAAGGGACAACTAAACAAGAGACCATTGTTTAGGCACTGTATGTAGATATTTTTTTTTATGTCGGGGCCTTTTATAGCTGACTATACGGTATGGGTTTTTCTCATTTTTGAAAGCTGTACGATAGTCTATACTTGCTTGAAATATGATGGATAGTTGTCTCATTGGCAATCATACCATACTCCTTATTTATATTAATTAGCATCATCAAATATTAAAATGTTTTCCTATATTTTACTTATTATATTCTCCGAACTTATTTGATATGAATACTTTTGTGAGAACAAACTAGACAGAAATATTTCAACAATCTGTGCATCTTATGAAATATTTCCCATACATTCAAACTAAAAGTTAACAAACCCTTTGATAATAGGAAAATTTGAAATCATGAATTGATTGACAACGTTTTAAATGCGTTCTTTAGATATTATCAATGTTCACTTAAACAAATATTTTTATGAACCACAGCATATGTAACTTTATTAAATAGTAAATAACTTTCATTAAGTTTCCCACTGCCTATTATTATATGATTTCCTGAATTTCTTTTCTATGTAACAAATCTTTGTGTGTGTTTGTTTTCTTTTGAAATTCTGATTGAAAAACTAGACGGGTCTTTTTGATGAGCTTTGTCTGATTAATAAAGACAGTGTTTGTTTTACTCAGCAAATTAAAGTTCGTGTTTTGTTGCCCTTCATGCAGCTGTTGGACATGATGACGTAAAAATAGTCTTATTTGCATGATATAGATTATTTACATCTTTTCTCGATCGTCGATAACACGTAAACATGACTACTATAAATATATGTGTATTACAATCTCACATTTAATAATTTGATTTCATGATTTTTATTTTTAAGGGAATAATATTTGTATGTGAACATCCTTCATAATGCTGAAGCTTCAGCTCTTAGGATGTTATTCTGATAATGAACTATTTGCACTGAAGAAAAATGTGTGTGAGGATACAAAGCTCCGAGGGAAAGTAGGAAGTTTATCGTTACAGTTTAATCTAACGAAAGACTCTTTACAAAATAACATTAAAACCGTTCGTCATGACTTAAAAGAGATACGTCGGTCAACTGGGCGAAGTCAAGATGGGATACCAGTAATCAGATCAGCTTCTCACACGTGTTCCATCTCCGAGTCGTTTCCAACACCAAGTGTTCCCCAGATTATCCTTGAACAGATAATTCATTCGGATTATGGACGACATCTGAACTTTAGTAGTAGCGGTACAGAAAAAAAGAAAAGAAGCTCGAAGAAACTACGAGCAATAACTGGAACGGTTCGTAGTTACAATGAATTAGAAAGTATACTAAGGGCAGCAAGACGTAGGAAAATTAAATCTGAAGGTGGTTTAACGAAACAGCTGCTATCCATCGACCAATTGCCAATAGATGTAAATCAAGTTGATTGTTCATCAGAATTAGCAACCCCGATTCTTGAAGACGACGTATTCGATGATTCAAACATAATCGTTTCTGGATCCAGTCCGACGTTACAGTGTGTTGAACATACAGAAAATGCTGAAACACACACAAATGATCAAAATCATAATAACGCAACACGTACGAACCAAGTCCTAAGTAGCAAAGGTTGCTCTACCGAAACAGAACAAAAACCAAAGGAATCAGCAAATAACTTGTCGGTTTTTCACAGTCCATGGAAAGTGCATAATCGATCCGGAAAGACAATTGACCCGTTAGAAATTCCGCATATTAAAGACTGTTACCGACCTATGTGTAGACCGAACTGTTCTACGTGTCTGTCTAGAAAAAAGAAAACGCCATGCTTTTTAGTACCAGGAATAAATATTAGTCATGATCACTTTAACATCGAAGAAAAGGTAGAAGATGGCAATGAAGGCAGGCCGAAAAGAAAGACTTCGAAAAACAAAAATAAAATAAATGAAAACGCAGCGACTGAAGAGAGCACAATTGATAACAGTGATATTGTGACTCAATGTACAAACACTGAAAATTATCTTTCAGACTTAAATATTTCTAACGAGAAAGAAAGAAAGCAAATTGCAGAAGGAGTAGCAAGTTTTGTTGCCGAGTGTTTAGAAATTAGAAGAAATACGACAAGAAAGGTCATAAGTAAAACAAGAATAACTGAACTTTCGAGGCCTAAAGACGGAGGTAGAAAAGACGTCAGATTTTCAAAAACATTCATAAAAAAGGAACTTGAGAAAATGAAAAAATCAGATCCAATTTCTCAGCTAACCTCCGAAGAGCGGAGACGGTTGCACAGAGTTCAAGGTCAGATAGCACTATTTTTGGCTGTACTAAACCAAAAACGAGCAAGTCAAGTTAAACCTATGAACGAGGTTTTAGATGACTTCCCAATCCGAGACGATTTTCATCATCAACACGAGCCTGTTGCTTTACCAACACTTGAGATGCCAGGAAATAGGCGTTCTCGAAGAAAGGTTTGGTTTCAGTGAATGTCATATGCTTGCTATGAATGTAAATTGATTTGGTGATATACAATTTTGGCAACATCTAATCGCAACATTACTATTACAACAGACGCAATGGCGGTTGAAGCTTTCTCCTGATTATGAAAAAATACGAAGTGAACAATTTGTATATAATTTAATGGTAGTAGTTATTAGTTATAAAGATGCACACATATAAAAATTCAAATATTACCCCTAATTATATATGTACATTTTTTTTAACATTGGCAAATGTTTGAAAATAGCGTGTGTTTTTTTTTACTATAATGATCAGACGATCCCCTAGGTTAGCTTTTTCAAGTCATGTATGTCCACCAGAGTTGCTCTTTTATACAGTGAAGATAAGTGAAACATGTATCTGTGTTTGAGGTGGATGCTTCTTTATTGTTAGTTCTGGACCGTTTGTTCAAGAGATAATTACTTATGGTTATACTTTTCATCATATAAAATTAAGGAGCTGTGGAATGATTGCCAATGACACAACTAGCCACAAGAGACCAACGGACAAGGATGCAAACAACTACAGGTTACCATACGGTCTTCAACAATGAGCAAAACCCATAATGTACAGAAAACTATAAAAGGCATCGGCATACCAAAAGTGAACAATTCAAAAGAAAAAACTAACTAAAGGCCTGATTTATGTTAAAACCATTTACGAAATAATTTATGACAAACAGAAACCAACGATAACCACTGGATTACATGCTCCTGGCTTAAGACCGACATATAAAGAATTTGGCTGGACTAAACTTCATTTAAGTCAGAGTTGTGATTTAAGAATTCTTAATGAAATCCATTCCCTTTCATTCCACTAGTATATTTATTATTTCAAAGTATTTTATTGAATTGTTGTCATCATGATTACGCCCAATATGTTTATTTACAGTGTATTTCTACTGTCCATAAACTGAACTTATACATTATATCTGATGAAAATGTAACTCTATTTGCCTTCAAAATATTTAAAATAAAAATATCTAAAATTAATATTTTGCTTAAGATTGAAAATGATTTGCTATGGGATAACTTTCAACAGTCAGCAACAAATAAAAGACGAACGGAACATCTCGAATTTGAGAAAGAATAAGATTAAAATGCGACAATATTTTGAAATTACAATACACTTCTCAATGATCACAAGCATGCAACCGATGAATATGGTAATTATGAATAAAAGTGATGAGAATTATACGTCTATGAGACAGCTTTCAAACGACATTATCAAAAGATGCTTAATTTCGGTCGTTGACAATAGACAATGTCCTGTATGTCTGACTAATGGACCTTTCAATTACAGTTCTATAACATTTTATACACACATTAAAACTTTTAAATTAGGTCATATTACATACACTTTTGGAAACAAATGAAAGTTCCACATGACTTAAGTGAAACAAACTGTTTGCAAAGTTGATGAAATATTTAAATCCAGTATTGGAAGTTTCAAAGATTGTATATGTTAATGACCTAATGTATAGTTTTATTTATGATATCTCTTAAACACTCTTTCATTCAGTACCCCCAATTTTTTTAATCTATACAGTAATCAATATATAAATATTTTAACGAAATCAACTGTTTATAACGCATATATAGTTGTCCAAAATGCTACCAAAAAGTACCAGCGGGAAAAAGCAGGAACTTTCATATACTTTTGCGTTTAAAAGTTAAAAAAAACGTCAAAAACCAAAAATGAGACACACACACACTGGAAGATTGAAAAAGGGGGAAAAATCGACATCAAGACTTCGTTTGCGGTGATGTAATTTACTTTAAAGTATTAGCTTACTGTATTACAGTTAAGAAAGGTTGTATCTAAAACCATTTGAAAGTTCATTAGCGAAATAAGCTTTGTACATTTTAATTTTCTGAGTAGTATGGAAACTAAATATTTACCCTGTCTGAATTTTTTGCTTCAATCTTTAAATATGCTAAAAGGATGAAGTTCATAACAACTTGGATCACCGTACAAAGTAAGTTTATTTTCAATTTATGAGTTTGAATATCCCTCTGGTATCTTTCGTCCCTCTTTTGTTAGTATTATATTTATCGTTTTTCTCAATGAGAACGATTTAACACAATTTCATTCTGCCAGGGGTCTTTCAGTGGGGATGGACTTGATCAATGTAAAATATACCTTTCCATTCATAAAAATGCCGCACAAAACTAAAATCATGTGGCTCATTAAAATTAAAAAACTTACGATATTTTTTTTCATACGGTATGCACATTTAAAATATAGTTTAGGCAGCTTCGAGGGATAAAATACGATTACAAATGCCCAACCAAATGTTTGTCAACCTTGAAAGCTCTTATCACACGATACTATTTTGGCTGTTCCGTTTTACCCCCGGTAAATAAATTTAACTCGGAAATGTCATACATGTAGGTTGTTTATGTGGAAGATTTACGTTGATGCAATGTGTGCATGCACTTTTGATAATTAACCGTTGCTTTTTAAGAAGAACCTATAAGTTGTATCCGCTTTTTAGCTCACCTGGCCCAAAGGGCCAAGTGAGCTTTTCTCATCACGTGGCGTCCGTCGTCCGTTAACTTTTACAAAAATCTTCTCCTCTGAAACTACTGAGCCAAAGTTAACCAAACTTGGCCACAATCATCATTGGGGTATCTAGTTTAAAAAATGTGTCCGATGACCCTGCCTGCCAACAAAGATGGCCAACATGGCAACAAATAGAACATATGGGGTAAAATGCAAGTTTTGTCTATTATTCTGATAACCGTTATAAAAAGAGGAAATCTGAAAATGGTAAAATTGTTCAGAATGATGAAATCTACCAATTATCCATATATGTCAAAACTGTCAGACGATTTCCTGTAGGAGTTATTGCCCTTAAATAACAAATTTTACCACCTTTTTTCTCGATTTTTGCCTATTATCTTGAAAACTGTAAAAGATAGAGAGAAACTTTTAAATGATCAGAAGGACAAGTTCTACAAATAAGTCTTATGGTTGAAATCATCAGTTGACTCCTTATTAGAGTTATTGCCCTTTGATGCCGATTTGTACAATTTGTTTTGCGTTTTTGTCTTATATCTTAAAACTTATAATAGATAGAAAGAAACTTAAATATATAAAACTGATCAGCAAGACAAGATCTACAATTACGACAAATGGCGGAAATTGTCGGACGACTCCTTATTGGAGTTATTGCCCTTTAACTACGATCTTTGCCATTTTTTGGCGTTTTGCCTTATATGATAAAAATTATAATAGATAGATAGAAACTTAAATAATCAAAAATGATAAGCAAGAAAAGACCTACTAACAAGTCAAATTTTGCTGATTTAATTAGTAGACTGTTACTGTTTATAGGAGTTTTGTTACCCTCTTTTGTGTTTGGAGCAAAAGCTAAATAAGATCATGAAGACAGAGAGAAACTAAACAGACTTCAATGATCAGCAATATAAGTTACAAAAAAAAACAGAGATTTTTGTCATTAATTCTATTCTCGTCTACAATGTTGGAGAGTGTCCTTTGTTGAATATTCATATAGACCAAGGTTAGCGACACAGACTCTTGAGAGCCTCTAGTTTACGTTAAAAAGCTATATCTCATGCTTTTACGAACCTATTCGAAACTCATCAACCGATCGCAATACGTAATTCAATATTTGAATTAAGTAATGCAATACCAACCTATATATGTTAGTTTTACCCTCCATGTATTTTCTTTCAGTTGCAACTACCGTAAGCAACTAAAACACGAGTTCGAATGAGGAAGCCTTAAATATGTATAGATGTATACTTATTTTGGCTTAAGGTTAAAAAAAACCCGGTTTATGTATAAAGAATGGCAAATTAACATGTTGTACGTGTACAATAATATTAGATTAACTTGATAAAGAATCCTACCTTTCTGTTGCTTTAAAGCAATTTCTTGCAAAGATTTATTGAAGCGAACTTGAAAGTTTTCCACAATTTTATCAAATGATGCATTAAATCGGTTCTGTTCCTGGTGAAGAGATAACTTCATTGTACTCTCCCATTTACGTTCAGCCTCACTGAATTCCTGTATTTTAAAAGAAAAAGAATCCAACAATGTGTTCATTTGTCTTTCGTACAACTCAGTTTTATTTTCAGACTGCAGTTTAAAATGGTCTATGGTTTCAAGGTAAGACTCGTTAAACCGCACTTGGTCCTGGAGATGTGCGGCACGCATTGATTCAACAAATGTTTCTGTTTTTTTCTTCGTCTCGACCACTTTATCCAAACTAGAAGAAACAGATTCTTCCCATAGCTTCATCTTCTCCGCATACACTTTCATTTTATGTTCCATACTAGAAGAAACAGATTCTTCCCATAGCTTCATCTTTTCAGTGTATACTTCCATTTTATATTCCAAGCGCACAAGTTTTTCCAGGACCTTTTCTTCAAAATCAAATTTTGAACAGGCCAATAAGGATTCAGAACCAATCGAGCTGGCAAAAATTGCCATTATTGGCAGGCTTAGGCATACGATCTGAATCATTGTAAATGTTGCTTTGTTCTACACTTAATGGCACATAAAAGGTTCACTTAAAACATGATATATTCATAACTTTATCTTAATTGGAGTCTGCATATCGTCATTTCGTTTCCTTTAAAAACAAATATTCCGATAATGTATCTGCTTAATTAATTAGCTGTCAGATATCTTTTTAAATAATGCTGAAAACCAACAGACTAGCGGATTTCCACTACGTAACACTTGACATAATCATAATAGATACCAGGATTATTTTTTTTTTTCGCCAGACACGCGATTAGTCTACAAAAGATTCATCAGTGGCGCTCGAATCAAAATAGTTGAAAAAGGCAAAATAAGATAACTGGGTCAAATGTCCTACCAGCGTTAATAACATAACAACAACAATAAATACTCTATTAAAGTCTTACCTCTTTAAAACATTTGATATAAAACACAATATAATAATAGCAGATCAATTTATAAAAGAGCCACTCTAAAAAGAGTTATGAGAGACTGTAAAAATACATCAAAAATACATTTATATTACATATATAACATATATAAATATATCTTAGCATGAAACACCATAATATTAAAAAGCAATTATTTTGCAATCATAATCAGAAGATAAAAAAAAACATTATATACAGTTATTACGAGTATAAAATACACTTTCTCTTAAAAGTACTTTATAGCAGATTTTGGCTGCGAAATAGCAAACTCTGTCGTCATGAAACATAAATAAAAACTTTTCCTCATTACACAAATTATTAATAAAAATTGAGAATGGAAATGGGGAATGTGTCAAAGAGACAACAACCCGACCATAGAGCAGACAACAGCCGAAGGCCACCAATGGGTCTTCAATGCAGCGAGAAACTCCCGCACCCGGAGGCGTCCTTCAGCTGGCACCTAAACAAATATGTATACTAGTTCAGTGATAATGGACGTCATACTAAACTCCAAATTATACACAAGAAACTAAAATTAAAAATGATACAAGACTAACAAAGGCCAGATGCTCCTGACTTGGGACAGGCGCAAAAATGCGGCGGGGTTAAACATGTTTTTTGAGATCTCAACCCTCCCCCTATACCTCTAGCTAATGTAGAAAAAATACGCACAACAGTAAAACTACTTTCTACATTACATACACTGTTAAAAAAATCGTTCGCAAATCTGCATATCCTGGGCATTCTAACAACACATGTTTTTCATCTTCTATTACATCTAAGTCAATTTTTCTACAATTAAAACAAAACCTTTCATTTACATCTATACCTTCATATCTGCCAGTTTCAATTCTAATTGGAGCAACACGTGCTCTAAATTTAGCATATGCACATCTGTATTTACACGGCATAGTAATACTTAAATATTTTTCTGTGTAATAATTAAATTGTTAGTACGCAATTTACTGCTTCCATTAGCTATAGTAAATGACAAGGTTCACTTTAGGCCAAATATGGCCTTGAATTTCCACTTTATCATAAAATTTCAAAATGGCCAAAACTTGGTCCTTAAATGGATTTATTTCAAAAGATTTACTTCTTTGTTAAAAGAAATCTGTTCATAAGAGTACATTTTTGGTTTCAAAATCAGCACATTTTGAATATTTTGTCAAAATACGATGATTTTGTGCATTTTTCGGACCTAAAAGCTTTAGGAAACCCTTGGCAGCAACCAAGTATCCCAAATGTCCTGTAGTCAAGAGTTGCCAATGATGATATTGAATCCCTAGACACAAAAACTTTCTTGATCTTGGGTGGTGGCCAAAGTAAATTATGCTAAAAATAAGAATTATTAAAAATTTGACCAAAACTGACTTTACAACTCAAATCATGCATACTTACAGAGTCATCAATACTTCAAAATGAAGTTATTTTTTATTAATAGTAATATCATAACTATTGTAGTATTATGACCTGATTTAAAAACACATCAAAATCTTATGGCCAATTTTAACCCTTCGTGAACTTACTCCTTTGAATGCCATTTATTCTGGTACATAATAAAAAGGTTGTTTTCAATATCTTTAATAACAGACTTGCTCAAAATACATTCAACATTACAATACTGAATAAGATCAAGTTCATTAAACTTTGTATTCACTCTACAGTTCCAATGTTTTACTCTATTAAAACTGAGATTATTACTCCAAAGAAAAAAAATGCTTATTAAGTCTACAATTAGACATCTTATAAAATCGTGACCAAGTTCTAAATATGGTAGACCATTGTTTAACAATATATACATGGTTTCCATCCCATATCTCCATAAAGTGCTAAGTTAGGGGTATATCTACCCACACTCATAAAAAATCCCATAGCCTTATGTTAAACAGCATTTATACAAGAAAATTTCTTAGTACCACAAATAGAGGCGCAATAATCAATCACTGACCATACAATTGAATTAAACAGTTTTGTATATACATCATATTGAAAACCACAACGAATATTACATTTTGCTATTAATAACCCCCAATGCCCTACTGGCAGATTTAGCAACTGCTTTTGCCATATCTTCATAACTCAAATGGTCGGTTAACAATAAACCTTAATATGTATAATTTGATACTTTATCAACAAATTTTCCATTGAAAACAAAAGGAAAATTAGTACATGGCACAGAAGGTGTTCTAAAATGCATAACTTTGGATTTTTCTAGATTAACTTTTATCATATTTCTATCACACCAACATTCTAAAGTATTCAAAATGTTTTCTAATTAATTCACTTTCACTTTCTGTTAAGAAAACTACATCGTCTGCATTATAACATTATACCATGGATATAATAGCCATTATATCTATGATTATACACACCTTTTCTTCACCTATGTTAATATCAACATTTAACTTTTTGACTTCATCAATTAAATCATTAATGAAGAAAAAATGAATAATAATGGTGAATAATGCACCCTTGTTTCAAACCAATATTAACTGGGAACCAGTTAGTTAAAATACCATTTAACTTATAAAAGATTGAACATTATTATATAAAGATCTTAATGCCTTTATCAATTTAGAACTAACGCCAAGTAACTCTAATTTATTAAATAACAATGTTCTGTTTATAGCATCGTATGCCTTTTTAAAGTCAATAAACGCAGCAAATGTAGACTGTTTACCTAGTTTTCTAGACTCTATACTACTTGTTATCGACAAAAGGTGGTCAATTGTTTTACGATTTTTTCGAAAACCATTCTGCTCATCATGGATAATATCAGATGTTTTCAAATTTTCCCGCGCCTTCCCATTTTTAGCCTTTTTTTAATACATCAAAAATTTCCTCACTTGTAATTTAGCAATCCAATAAAGAATCAAAATTACCTTGATCATTAGCATTGACACTTTCAGAAGGAAGTACACAATTTTCTACATTTAACATTGACTAAAAATCATTCTTCCATTTATTCAAGACTGAATCTAGATCTGTTGATACCGAACCGTCATCTACTTTTATTTCCATCGGTATATTACGTTGCCTTTCTGCACCAATACCGATTTTTCCGATTTTAGGCCAAAATTCCTTCGGATTATCACATGAACAGGTCAAATCATCCTGCACTTTATATCAATAACGACGTTTTGCCTGTTGTACATTTTTGTCAAAGAATTTCCTGTTTTGACAATATATATGGCGAAACTGCTTTTTCGAATGACGACTTTTGGTTTTAAGGTACATATCTTCCGATTTGCACACATCGTTCCAAAGGTCCGTTAATTCTGTATTCCACCAAGATTTCTTGTATCTCCGATGCTTATTACTGGAACTGTTGTTAATATGAATCATCTTATTTGTGATTTTTCCTTTTTTGAATTATAAACACCTTTTGGGAGCTTGGGTGGGGCGTGGTGGTAAGATATCTGATAATAATTACATTAGAACTCATTATTGAGGATGCATTCCGAATTATTCGGATTAAAATATTTGTGGTCTTAATTGCCACCTTTCAGTGTCGGTTCAAGTATTCTCCCTGAAACCTCGTGACATAATAAGCACTAACCTTTTTCACATCTATTGTGATTTCTGTAGTTATCGATTTTTGCTTAATCTACTAGTACTTCTACATGTATTTTAAGACCAATGCTTGTATGTATACACGATGTTGTTAAGTCTAATATCAAACGAAACGATGCTGTTAAATCTAATATCCGACCAATCCCTGTATAAACGATGCTGTTAAATCTAACATCGGACCAATCCTTAATTTGTATAAATGATAATATTAAATCTACTATCGGACGAAATGATGCTAATAAATCTAATATAGAACAATCCTTGTATAAATTATGATGTTAAATCTACTCTCGGAAAAGAATGATGCTGATAAGTCTAATATCGGACAAATCCTTGTATATATGATGATGTTAATATAAATCAGGAGATGTGGTATGAGTGCCAATGAGACAGCTCTCCATCTAGGTCACAATGTATACAAAGTTAACAATTATAGGTCAAAGTACGGCCTTCAACACGGAGCCTTGGCTTACACCGAACATCAAGCTATAAAAGGCCCCAGAATGACTAGTGTAAAATAATTCAAACAGGAAAACCAACGGTCTAATATATATAAAAAACGAGAAACGAGAAACACCTATGAACCACATCAACAAACGATAGGCTCCTGACTTAGGACAGGTTCATAAAAATGCAGCGGATTTAAACGTTTTAACAGGCGCCAACCTTCATCTAAACCGAGACAGTAGTGTAACATTGCAACATAAAAAGACACACTATAAAATATCAATTGAAATAGCTTAACTCGATCAAAAAGACATTTTAGTCTTCAATCGGACAAAATGATAACTGTTAAATCTTATA